AAGTCAGAGTGATGCAATTCACAGAGCCAAGCCACGGTTACGGCCAATAGATTCAATATAATTCATATCCATCAAATAACGACAAGAACTGTTCGTCGGTCCTTACTTGAGCGCGGGATTTGCGCAATAGGAGGCCGTTCAGGGCCTTGTACTGACGGTACATCACCAACATGCAATAATGTTATGGGCGCAACATTATCTATTTAAACAAGAGCAAAATGGCCGAATTTTCAGTGGCAAAATCAGACTTACACTTAAATGCAATGACAGGCGGCAAAAGTATTATCGGCAACGCTGGAAAAGATTTGCTGAATAGAACAGAATTTGATTAAAAACGTAATAGATCTTGTCAAGTATTGTTGGCAGCGGTCTCAAATAGTAATATTTTTGATCTAGAAATTAGCTTAATATAAACTTTTGGAAAGTATGTACGTGTACCTGTCTAATAAGTCAGTAGTTAACAGTTGAAGCGGAAAAGCTAACATGTTAATCATGCTTAGATTAACACTAGGCGAACCTGTAGTTGACCACATGACCCCAAAATCAAACAGAGAACACCTACTTGCCAAGACCGATGCACTTACAAAGTTTCAGATCCAACAGCCTATGGCTTATTAAGTTATTGATCGAAAACCATTTTTACCTACATGGTTAATATTACATTGACCTTTGACCAAAAATCAATAGGGATCATCAACAAGCCAAGACTAAAGCACATACGCAGTTTAAGGGTCATCAACCTGTGGCTTGTCAAGTTATTAATTGGAAACCGTTTTACCTCAAAGGTCCATATGGCATTGACCTTTGATCCCTTGACTTCAAAATCAATACGGTCACTTACTTGCCAAGTTAAATGCACGGACGAAGTTTGAGGGCCAACAGCCTATGGGTTGCCAAGTTATTGATCGTAAACCGTTTTTACCTACGTCAACGTGACCTTGACATTTTACCCCTGAACCCGAAAATCAATTGGGGTCAGGTACTGGTTGGGAACAATCATCATACTAAAGTTTGAAGTTCCTAGGCCTAAGCGTTCTTCAGATAAAGATCGAAAACCGTTTTACCCTCAATATGACCTTGACCTTTGACTGCTTGCCCCAAAAATCGATTGTAGTCACCTACTGGCCAAATCAAATTCACCTACGGGGTCTGATCGGAAACTGTTTTTACCTACAAGGTCAATGTAACTTCTACCTATAACATTTGACCCAAAAATATATACAGGCCACCTACTGGCCATGAACAACCACAATACCAAGTTTAAAGTTCCTAAGCTTAAGCGTTCTTTTTCACAAACCGTGACGATTTTGCGACTCCGTAAACATGGTATTGCACGGCCGTGTATATATTTTGACGTGACGTCATTAGCGTTATACAAACATAGTGTAAAGACGCGCTAAATGTTATCGTTAAACTATAGGCGCGTCAATTAAAAATGACTCTTATTTCACTTTAAACGGTCTTTATTTTGGGTATGCACCGTGTGTATCCAGTAATGCCGGAATGTTAAAATAACGCACGATTCGTGCAATAAGTAACGCAGAATTGTGCAATAAATGGCGGATATCTGACAGAATTTCCAACGCGGTAAGTAAACTGGGCAATATATCTTTTTTTTAACCGAACTGAAAAAAAAGAATAGCCGCATACGGCTGCGAAGACATTACTCTTCATCCTTCATCAAGATAATTTCCATGAAATTGTTTACTTTTCAAGATCATTCGTGAAAATGTTGGCTTGACCACCGTTTTGTACTTATTAGAGTCGACAAAAAGCCAAAATCTCGCTCAAAACTACAAAATATGTAATCTTCTCTGCATATTTAGAAATTTGATAATAAATAAAGTTTATAGTCAAAAGCTACCTGGGTTGCATATTCATTATTTGATAACTGTCTTTCATGGAAAACGAATATTGAAAAAAAGTATACTTAAGTCCGTAATCAAAAGAAATAGAAACAAGTGTTGAATATGTATTAGTGCTTGACGTACTAAAGTGTCTATATAGTATAATATTTGAATCTTTTTTATTGCAAAAGACGTGCGTCATTGGTTGATTAAAATGCGCGGATGATAGTATATATACATAAATTGAAAAAAAAACCTCTTGTTGTCACATCAAAAGTTATGGCTTTCCTTTCATTCCCGTCGTCTCATGCAAAAAGTAGACCAGCGTGAGTAGAATTAGCTGATTCTATAGTGAGTCTAAATTCCCCATTACTTTCATCAAAGTTGAAAATGAATGTGTAGGGTTTGTTTGAAGAAGCACCACATGAGCCTAAAAAGCAGTCTGCGTATGGATCGTTATTCACAAGCCATGTCATTACATTGCTATATGGAGATATCGTGCATATAAGAACCACTTCCGAATCATCTTGAAATCTTGTCATACCACCACCTATTGCTAGCGATACGGATGCACCTAAACAATGCAAATCATATTTTATAATGATTAATAATATTTCTGAAGATGAAACTAACATCACAACATTAAAATATGAAATAAAATAAATATCAATTCCATGTGCCTTTTCCCATTGCCAATGTCACCACTGCAAAAGTAAGTTTTTTTTTTTCAAAACCAACGTTAGATCGATCTTTAAGGGCATCATGTAGCTCTATATGTAAACAAGTAAGATTATGTTATAATCTGAAAATTCGTTGCACCACTTGCATGCATTATTTGTATCCAATATGTAAAACAAGATCAAACCCATACACACGAATAGGAAGAGACTGACTACCCTGTATGCAGCAAAAATTTAAGTGTCTGCTGTATAATTTGTTTTTCCATAAAAGTCGCACCAAATCTTGTCGGTCGGTCGCTCGGTCGCTCGGCCGGTCCAATTTATGTTTTCTTGCCATTTTTCTTCATATGACGCCATTTCTGGTTGGTTCAAGGAAGCGGACTCGAAAGTGATTAATATAAGTTGCTAGCTTTTGTTTCGCAATCGAGCTAAAATAGATATTTTTAATCCCAAATGTTTATCATCGGTTTAAAAAAAGTTTCATTTTTTTCGATTTCATCGTAATCTTATATAGTTTTAATTAAAGTTTGGACAAGACTATCACAAAAATGTCAACTAAAAACGACATTGACATGATAATTATGGTCCCTTGAAACAGCTAAGGTTAAGGATTTGAATTCTTATTAAATAAAAACATTTAACATTCCAAAAGAAATATATATACTTACTGAAGAAAGGACTGACTATTCTTTACAAAATAGGTATAACTTTCAATATGTGTCATTTGATAAAAAATTATCAACGTTCCCTAATGAAGTTCAACCATGATATAAGTTAAATTGCTATACTTTATCTTGAAAATGAAACTCTAAAATTCCTAGACGTAAAGAAAGCTGATTTGCCGACAGACATGTGTTACGTATACGTATAGTTCTGCACACTTTTGGCAAGAACTAGCACGGATGCTTCTATAATCAAACGTCTGGTACTACATTTGTAGTATTGCATATCGCACTTCAAAGAGTGGTTTTGGTACTGTAGTAATGAGGCAGAACTAAGGTTTTTTTTTTTTATATCAAATTGAAAAAGATACATATACCTAATATATTAATTTTAATTTTTATGACATCTCAAACTTTTAATTTAAAAAAACAAGTAATGGAAATTTATATGACAAATTGCGTAACATCATAATGTAATGTAGCGTTATAAAAAAGCTGTGAAGTTTAGTTACATTACCCCAGTTTTTTTAAAATGGGTGTGGGGTCCGTTGAATCTTGTAAACAGGTGAGGTAATACCGCTCATACTTTTGTCCTAGTTTGTACTCGCAAAAAATTTAAACGATTTATTTCCTATACTAAAAGATCGCTCAACACGATATTTTTGTTGTGTTTATGTATATGTTCTTACAATGTGGTCTTTTCTTGTTGAGTGGTTCAAATGTCCTACTTGATGATGTTGAAACACCCTTTAGATATTACTTCGGGACCATACGCCGCTTTTCATGGAATGGCTTTAGTGTCACACTGAATGTTCTATGATTACCGCCGTATGAACACATCTGCAGATGGCTGAAGCCTGCAACATTTTCAACTTTGTCTTATTGGACTTTCTGTAATGATCCTTTTTCTGTATTTGAATGAACACGAATACATTTGTGAAGTCGTTCTGTCAGCCTATCAACCTCTTAAATGCATCAGAGGAAAACATAAAGAACAATGGCACAAGGCACTTCCATACTCCATTTACTTTCTTAGATCTCGAGGGGGAGGCTGTTTTGCTTATATAATTAACAAACACTTTTTCACTAAGCCACATTAATGGTAAGAACTATTGTCATTACAGTGTACCTAATGATACATATAAGATTTATGGCTCATCATCCTCCCTTGTAGATTACAGTTGTGTTTATGTCTTGTAGTATATTTTTTTTTACTTTATTTTAATATTAACTTTCGTAATTTTTGTAATTTGTAAAATTGTGACTATATGTGTATGAAGGTATATTGACCTATGTTTATATGTGTTGCATGTATGGAAGAGGAACGTCATTTGAAATAAACTTATTCTGTTCTGATAAAAAACAAAGTGCATATGACAAAAGACCTAATGTAGTGTTTAATAACCTGGTAAAACATACACAATTTAAATAAAAATTTATACAATTTCCAATGTAGGGCCCATAAACATATACGTTAAATTTCAGACCAATCGACCGTTGGTTTTCTGATAATTGACAAAAATATACTTTTTGAAAAGGGTCCTATTTCAGTCCCAAAAATCTATGTGAAAGACAACGCCAAAATAGCAAACAAAAAACAACACCAACAAAACAAAAGAAAATGAACAAACGGGCACACACATACACATACGCACGCACGCACGCACACACGCACGCACCAACACACACATACGCACACGCCCGGACGCAATACAAAAAGAAACATGCTAACAATTATGACCTTGCCTTTGTGCTTTGTGCTGCAATTTAAAATATGAATGTATACTGAATAATGCATTGTTGCAATTCATTTTCAGGTATATATTACCACAGATTATACGCTATTCGAGATTTGGAAATGAAAAACTTGAACATTTGTGCCTGCATCTCCATAATTTGTTTCATTCAAGGTAAGTTCAAAGGCCATATAGTTTAAGCATTTAATGTAACGTTAAACAGAATCAGTATTTAGTAAAAATTTCAAGCCTCTTCTGGACACAACTTTTTGTGAGGATGCATTTCATTACTTTCCTTAACAAACAAACAATAAATATCTTTTAAAAAAAGAAGAAAATCGGCTTAATTCCGGTACAATGAAATGAAGTGTCTCATAGATGTAGAATAAATTTGAAAGATTATTATAAAATGAAATGAACGATTTATAAATGGTAGCAATCTTTTATTTTACCTAAATTAATATTTACCCCACTGTTGAAGTAAGTCCTGAGTATGACCGGGTTGTTCCTACGTAAGGCCGAGGTCACTGTCACATGACTCGTAGGGTATCATATTTATTTAATTTCGTAAGCATTACAGTGACACATGAAATACTTGTCGAAATCAAGTAAAAATAACCCCCCAGCGATAAAATTGTGAAATGTTTTACTATTAAATTCATACTATTTCTAGCACTTGACTATATAAAGAGATTTAAGGGTAAAGCGATTAAGGTTGTTACTTCGAACAACCCTCCTCACATCGCTGTAGATTTGAGTCAAGCAAGTGATTATTGTATGGAAGCTTTGATGGACCAATACATCTCATTCATTAATATTTTTAAAACGTTGCAGATGTTGTTATTCTGGACACATTTTCTTACTCGAGTACTAAGATTTCAGAGTTAATAAGCGTAGTATAATTATGTTATTTGTCTTTATGATGATATAATGAGCATCACTGTTCGCAGTGCTGAATAGTGTAGGTAGAGCAACGTAAATAATGGCTAGTGGGAGGTATAATTCTGCTTCAAAAGTGCTGCGCAAACTTAAGTTAACTTGAAAAACAAGTATAATGAGTTTAAAATAGATTATCGGTTACGATTTTTGTTACAAAGCAAATAAATGAAAACAAAACAACAACAACAAAAACAAAAGTACAACAACAAAAAAACAACACACTTACCAATTCCACCTAACAACCCCCCCCCCCCCCCAAAAAAAAAAACAAAAAAAAAAAAAAAAAACAACAAAGAAAATAAAGAAAATAAAAATAAAAGAATAATAAAAAGAAAAAAATGAACACAGATTAATGTTTTTTCTATATAACCGATAAACGTACCTTAAACAATATTTTACCAATGAAAGTGAAAAAGGGAAAAAGTGAACAAAAATGTAACGTAGGGAATATATAGTTTATATTATATATGCTATTTTCAAAATATATAGTTTCAAGCGTTAACATAAAAAAAAATGAAAAACACACTCTATAAAAAGATGTAAAACCTTTTTTACAATCATTTTAGGTAATCAAGTGTATTTGACTGCCATGCAAATCTACTTTATTAGTATTTTGTCAAAATATTTTTTTTTCTCATTTAGGGACGATTTCTCTTTCATGTTTACGACAATGAATGCAGACAAAACATACGGTATACATCATTAATACTTTTTTATATGTCTCAGTGAACACACAAACGAAAGAATAAATTTTGATACTTGTGTCGGTTTTTGTTGGGTTTGCCGTAACAACTTTTCAAGTAGCACTTGTAGGGATAATACCAGCGTGGCTTCTCTCGTGCGCTTACTTGTATACTCTTTTCAATACGTTTTGTACATGTTTAAAGAGTCCATCTTAAAAACAATATCAAATAATTTAACTATATTAGTGATGTCAAAATCAAATACAATCCAGTCACGTTCGTTATTTTATAGACAAATTAATATAACACATCAAACGTTCATTTACTTACTGTTCTTCATCTAATGAACAATAATCACTACAATATTTCCAGCCATCCCAGTCATGTTTTATGTTCGGGTTTCTTTTGCTATGTACCTTTTCGTTATAGTGTTTTACTTCAGTTTATTAATCTGATGCATTTGACAAAATTGAAATGTAAATGGTTATGAACTAAGATAAAGTTTTCCTACCGTAAACTTTACGGATATATCAAACTAATGAATATATCGCATAAATCTCGACAATGGTCCTAAAAAATGATCTGATAATTCGATATATCTTAAAAACAATTGATTAAGCGTCCGTTCTTTAGAAGACAAAGGTAAACTATTATATCACGAATTTAACAAGCCTTTTTCTCTCTACCTATACACTATTATTTCCTTTAAATGATAACGTAAGCTATTTGAAACTGTTTATAAAATAACATAATATTTCGTTTTCGTGTGGCTTACTATCGAATTTAATAACAATATATCTACAAAGAATATTTGACAATTCATATCTTTCTCATTTATATTGACCCTTTCGAAAATAGATGTCAATTAATATGTTTGAGTTTGGGTTGAATTGAAGGAATAAAGCTCATTTTCATTCATTTCGGTACAAAATGTTTACGTCTCGTGTGATTAACTACATCTGAATGTGCCATTTTTACACAATTCAAACATTGTTATCGAAGACAATAAAAAGTAGGAGAATGTACTTGGTATTGATAAAAGTTACCATGTATTTGACCCTTTGAAGCTCATGGACCTCGATTACAGCCGTGGAAGGGCAAAAAATAATACTCAGCATATTTTACATCTTGCTCTTCCTAAATTAACCATACCTGACTACATGCTTGTCCCCCCAAAAAATTATTTCATAAACATATTAATTTTTCAATCTTCGTTATTTTTCCTTTGTACGAAAAAATGTCTACAGGTAATAGACATTATGATACTGCGTACACAGTTATGTGATATTAATTCTGCCTAGACATTCTGCGAAGCAGGTCAAGTTCATAATGGGAACAAACAGATATCACTGGCAAACAAAAACATAATAATCAAAGAAATAAATAGATAACTACAAAAAAAGATTCAAATCTTGCGATAAAGTTTGCTCACTTAAAATATTTAAAATGTACATCTCCAAAAAGGTTTGGGTTTAATCTATTTCATTAAATTTGTTTACTCATTTATATAACACTCTACTGATCATTTTGTTTTTGTACACTCACTGTCACTGCATTTTAAACTTATTATAACTCACTTTTTTAAAGTCAAATTCATATCTCATTTAAGAAAATTAATGAGTATTATTATTTATTAGTTACCGATACTGTCATTATCTCGCGAATTCTTTTCCAGTCAACATGAAGGACAATTTTTTGTTCCCAATTGTGACTGAGACTGCTTCGAATAAAGTGTAGGCAGAGTTAAACAATAACACATATCTGTGTACTCAGTATCTTGATTTTTTTAGAGTATATGCAGTATCATTTTGTCTATTTCCGGTATAAAATTCGTTTAAAGGCTTTTTTCGTACAAAGGAAAAAGGACGAAGATTGAAAATATATTTATAAAATTGATTCTACAAAAACTAATCTCCAGTTGTCTGAAACTTTCATTCCGAAACCAGAATTCCTGAGCAATCTGCATATACATGTAATAACAACTTATTTTTGACTACAGCTGATATGTTATTAACATACATGTATATTAAAAACAATAAAAGGACCAAGGATTGACCCTTGTGGAACACCACATGCTATCCGAGCAGCAGATTAGTGTGTACCTGAAACATCAGCAAGCTGCTTTCTCTCAGAAAGATATGATTGACACCACCTCAAAATACCATCACCAAGACAAGCAGCTCTTAATTATATAACAAAAGGGCCAAGATGGCCCTAGATTGCTCACCTCACATATCGAACTGATCCGATTATTAACCTAATAATCTAGTTTTTCCTGTGAGATAACCCATGCTCAAACTCATCCGAACAATTACTTACACTAGCATCCTGACTAAGTTTGATGATCATTGAGTTAAAAATGTGACCACTAGAGTGTTAACAATGTTTTTACATATCTGGCCGGTGTGACCTGATTTTTAAACCAAGATGGCCCATGTTCTTAACCTAGAAATCAATAAAACAAACTTTCAGACCAATTTACAGGACATTTGGATCAAAAATGTAGCCACTAGAGTGTTAACAAGATTTTTCTATTTTTAGCTTCTGTGACCTAGTTTTTCATCCGAGATGACCCATGTTCGAACTCTTCTAAGAAATTACCTAGCCCAGCATCCTGAACAAGTTTGATAATAATTTAGTTAAAAATTTGACCACTAGAATGTTAACAAGGTTTATCCATATTTTGGCAATGTGACCTAGATTTAACCCCAGATGACCCAAATTCAAACTTGACCTAGAAATCATCCTGACCAAGTTTGATGATTATTGAGTTAAAAATGTGACCACTAGAGTGTTAACAATGTTTTTACATATCTTGCCGGTGTGACCTGGTTTTTCAACCAAGATGACCCATGTTCAAACTTGACCTAGAAATCATCAAACTTTCAGACTAATTTCCAGGATATTGAGATCAAAACAGTAGCCACTAGAGTGTTGATAAGATTGTTCTATTTTTAGCTCCTGTGAACTAGTTATTATCAAAGATGACCCATGATCGACATCATCCGAGCAATTACCTAGGCAAGCATCCTCACTAAGTTTGATGACAATTGAGTCAAAAATGTGACCACTAGAGTGTTAACAAAGTTTTTCTATTTTTAGCTCCTGTGACCTAGTTTTTGATCCGAGATGACCCATGTTCGATCTCACCTAGACAAGAATCATGACCAAGTTAGATGATTAGTGAGTAAAAAATGTGACGGCTAGAGTGTTAACAAGGTTTTGGTACTTTTAGCTTCTGTGACCTTGTTTTTCTTTCGAGATGACCCATGTTCGAACTCATATGAGCTATTACCTAGACAAGCATCCTGACACAGTTTGATGATGATTGAGGCAAAAATGTGACCGCTAGAGTGTTTTTCTATTTTTAGCACCGATGACCTAGTTTTTCATCCGAGATGACCCATGTTCAACTCATCCGAGCTATCAATTAGATAAGCATCCTGACAAATTTTGATGATGATTGCGACAAAAATGTGACCGCTAGAGAGTTAACGAACAAGTGTGGACGGACGACGGGCGACAGACGACGGATGACGGAAATTCAACGATCCTAAAAGCTCACCATGAGCTGGCTTCGGTGAGCTAAAAAGAGTTTGGCCGTCTACAGTATTGAATGCATTTTGAAGATCTAACAGAATCATTCCAATAAAGATACATGTACCTTGATCTATTTGCATTCTTATATAGTCTGTTAAATGAATAAGACATGTATCTGAAGTCTGATTGAAATTTAAGATAACAACATATTTGATTTAAAATAGGACTCTACCTGGTCATATACAACTCTGTCAAAAAATTTAGAAACAATGCTCATCATGTAAACCGGGCGATAATTGCCAACTTAAAAAAACTATAGTAGACTTTGGCTCATCTGGAACCAGACCCTGTATTAGGGACAAATTAATTACATGTGTAAGAGGTTGAGTAATAATTTAAGCCTCATCTCTCGCAAAACGTGAATAGAGGCAACATTTGTATAAAATGTGTTAAAAGAGTCAGCAATAGACACTTTATCAAAACATATGTCATCATCAATATTGAGACACAAATTTGTATTAGAGGGAAAAATAGCCTCCTTAGATGGTAAGCCAAGATTCTTATTAAGAGTTCTCCAAAGTGACTTAGAATTTTGTTTTTTTCAAGAGATTCAGAGAAGAAATTATCTTTGCTGTAATGATGAGATCTTGAGTTATATTGCAGATGAGAGATTTAAAATTTCTTAAATTTTCATCACTTTTATTAATTTTATAATTATAAAAAGCTTTGTCTGACAATTTGATTGAATTTAAAATATCTGCTCAAATCCAAATTTCGTTATGTTTAAATATTAATTTCTTTACAGGAGAAATATTATCAACAACTGATACAAAAATACTTTTAAAATGCCCCAGGCTTCAGAAACATTATCACATAAAATTGCAGGAGTCCAGTCAGTTAGCAATAAGTTTGCTTGAAAATCATCTTTATTATAGTTTTTCATGGAACGTGTTGTAATATATCTATGTCGACCAACAAAAAGCTTATGTACCTTTCGCGTACAAAATATCATACAATGATCGCTGAGAGACGTTTAAATAACACCAGATTGAGACATTTTGTCAGGATCAGACACTAAAATAAGGTCTATAGTATATGATGTTGTATCACAAATTCTTGTAGAGTCCTGTAACAATTGACTAGTATTAAACATGTAAATAAAAGAACTTAATGCAGAAAAAAAGTGAGTTTGACTTTACATTTGTAGAAACATAATTGTTGAAGTCACCTTATCAAAAAGTCTCATACCCAGACAGAAAAATGACTGATCGAGGAACATACACTGTCAAGAACACTATAGAAATCAGATTGTTTATGTTGTCTGTAGATTGGATTTGGGTAGTAGTAATTCTAAATCATGACAATAGTTGAATACAAAATCACTGCGAATATATATAAATACTCTATAATAATATAGTTTTCAATGGACACTTCACTGTCCGGGAGAGAATTGTCAAACTATGTCTAAGAAGTACAAATACAAGCTTCTCGATTTTCTCGTGCAATGATTCTCATTTCATCCATTTTAGGTATCAAACTACGTATGCTGATATGTATGAAATAAAGAGCACGCTCCTTAAACGATTTATAATTGGAACAGTCCAAACAGGCAGCAAAATGTCCTGGGCACGGATGCACATCTCCACAAAATAGTAAACAAAAAGACAAATAACTATCAGGTGTCCTAATAATGTAAACACCTGCTTTTCTTTTAATCACTTACGTTAAAACTAAACGTATAGTTATAAGAGTTATTGTTGCGTTGTTGTGTTGAGTGTCCAACTACATGAACAAGTGGATGCTTGTTTGTGGAAAAGTGTTTACAAATATTTATTTTGAAATTCCATTTTATTGTTTCCTGTATCAAATATAATATCAAACAAAAGTTTTATGCTTAAAAGTACTGCAAGTGTAGTGTTTTCATAACTATTTGGTCGGTTTGTTCAACGAGATTCACGATAATTGACAATGTCGTTAATTACGGACAAAAAATATGATCTCACTAAGTCACAAAAGTGCAAATGGTCCCAATTATTTGTTTGCGGTACGGCGCTCTCATATTATATAAGCAATTTTCATGTTATTATTCTGTCATAAATGAATTTCAATCAGGATTAAAGAAAGGGTATTCAAAATCTAAAATCTGTCAACCTGCAGACTATATTTCAAGAGTAACTTTCAGTTTAAAATTTAAGTAATGAAGGCGCTGATATCCGTTGTGATTTTATAGTTGCCATATCATTGTATACGAATGTGCTTATGACGAAAAGGAGTCAAGATTTTGAATTGTTTCAATGTAGGTACATTATAAAGTTGTGTTCTAGGCATTGGTTAATCCTTATAAAATTGCTGATTCACTGAAATATTTATTGCAATTTTGAAACCAAGCAGCTCCATGTCAATGAAAGGCTAATTCTAAATACAGAGATTTTGAGGTTCGCAATATGATTATTTCAAATGTCAAAGAAACATTCCAATAAAAAGGTTGGAACCAAAGAATACCAATTAAACAATGTTTATTTAAAACATTTCATATTAAGTGATTTTTAAAATAATACAATATTGTTGTGAAGCAGAAATGCATAATTTACACATTTTAGTTTATACATCATTTACAAATCAATGACGGTGTTATACTACACTACATAATAACATTGTTTATATCATTATTAAATTGCTTGTCGTTTCAAATCAATGTTCTTAACCTCTAATCCGACATATCCTCGTGTTGGCGTCAAGGATAAAGTGACATTATGCACAGTTTTTGTATGTAGCTTTTATAAGGCATCATAGTAGCACATACACCTTCGGCAATAAAAGGCTCAGTTTTACTGAAATAACTTTGCTGTTATGTTCAGTCCACTACGTTTCACGATGATTTTGTCCGACTATACTCACAATTACAATCACTCAGACGCAATTCCTCGCACGATTTGCTCGTTCGTTTTCTCCAGTCTTTTTACATGAAAAATGTGCTGTCTGTTATTTCCTCGTGGTTTATCGGTATACCGGTTTGAATTTGCGCACCTCTACTTGAAAAAAAAATTGCGTAAGGGACGTTTGCAAAGATTTAGGGATGTTTATTACCCACCAATGGCATTTCTTTGTTTGACGGGGCATCACATTCTGGAACCAACCGTATTAAGTTTTGACCTCCAAGTGTGAACTTGACATCTGAGGTTTCTGTCCACGTGACACGCCGTCTAATTATTGTTAACATTTGTGTCAATGAGTTTCATTTATTTGAAATCATTTGACATAATAATGAAAAAGATATGGACAAGACAGAAAATATATCCCCAAGTGTGACATTGATTTTAGAGCTAGCGGTTTTGAAGCTACGCATGGCATGTTGTCCCTTTATTGTGAACAGTTATGCCAAGTACGATGACAAAATTATGGACCGGACACTAAAAAGCCATATAATAGACCATGCATAAGCTCTAATCTCCTTGTGTGACCTTGACTTCAGACGTAAGGATCATGTGCTGCGCATGACACTTGCTTGTCTGTTGTAAACATTTGTACCAAGAATTTTCAAAATCGTCTGATGAATGGCTTAGATCAGACACAAAAATATGACGGACAACTAGACGGACACAAAAATGTAACGTCCGTCACTCTTTCCCTTCAATAACTAAGCCACTTATAAAAGAAATCTAATACGGCTTGGCACAAATGTATACTCTCGGGTTGAATTGAGTCATAATGTGGTTAAAAAGATAAAACATCATAACAGGAATAACTCTACAATGTAGGTCTGGACGGAGCGTGCAGGCCTGAAAAGCTCGTTCTACATTCCCCTTCTTTCTTCGACAATGGGGGGGGGGGGTAGGGAAAGGCAACAACGAGACAAATTGATATAAGTTGATAGAACTTCTGTGTCACATGTGAATGAATAAACTATACAATTGTAGAAATTGGGAGCAATTATGTCAATTTGACTCTAACCATTTTGATTTTTCAATTACAGGTCTATTTTGTAAAAGCATAGTTTTATCCCCAACAAACGCAAATGTTGATTTAAACCAGAGCTTTACATTTACTTGCACATATATCGGGTATGATAAAGTCTTTGGCACAAGATGGAATATAGGGACAAATATACCATATATAGACAATCAAAGTGGCACTTGTATTGGTGGTGGAATATTTGCTAATAACACCATTTACAGAGTTGGATGTCCGTCTGATACATCTTTTACCGTAACAATATTACGTGTACAGCTTCATTATCACAATGAGATGTGGGAATGCTTTGAGCGTGACATGAAAAGTAATACTGTTACAATTCTTGTCCAAGGTCAGTAAAGTTTATTCAATCAAATTAAACGTGTTTATGTATTCAATTTTTTAATTTGTTTTAGACTACGAGGGTTGTCCTAAAAGTTCGTGCACTGCAGTTATTGTCGGGAGATTTATGAATAAAAACAAATAAATTATATATCACTTGAAAAAGGAATCTGTCTCAAATAAGAAAACAAAAGAAAAAGTCGAGTAACCGGCGTGTCGTGTAAAAGAATGGTCATTGAGTTACCTTAGTAACGTAATACCGGCGCACGACGAAAAAATGGGTTAGTTCATTACTGTAATTGTATTAATTGTTTGTTGCTTGTAAAGTGGTGTTTGCTATTTATGTTAAAATTTGTTTTACTGTCAATAGAGGAATGATTGATGCAAAGTATTGTGTTGTTTTTATTGTTTTTATGCAACGTACATGTAGCATATTCCACCAGTGCAGGAATATATTGGATAACCCGCGTCACATGCGCCGGCATTACGGACGGACGTCTGCCTGACCGGTTGTCATCGTCTACCGACTCTCTTTCTCTTCCACAGAACGTTTGTGCCATTTAAAAATCAGCATTCGTGACACTGAACTTATCCTGCTTGCCCTTTTAAGTTCTTTGTCGATTCGTTTTCAGGACATGCCGGTTACATGTTTTTTTCTTTTGTTTTCTTATTTAAGATATATCTCCTCTTCAAGTGATATATAATTCATGTTTTTCTATCAATAACTCACACGACAATAACTGCAGTGCACGAATTTTTTGGACAACCCTCGTATCATGGAGCTCAAAATACACAATTCACGATATAGTTAAATATATATTATTTCAATTATATCTTAGTCTAAAGTTTTAATATAGAACAGTTATTATAGTTAGTTGTCATCATAAATTTGTTTACATTTTAACAAAACTTGTAAATATGTGCATGAGATGTTATAGAAATGGAAACTTCTCCTGGTATTCCTTTAATTGACTTATAAACTAATGATGTACTTTTCCGAACACCTTAATGTTACTTTTACAATTCAGCCCTTACGATATTTTTCTGTTAACAATATCTGGCATTAAACTATAAAATTATCTATACTATTGAGTAATATTTATGTAAAGTAGGTTCTTGAGAGAATGAAAAAAAAAACTGAAACGAAGTACTCTATTAAATTCAGTGATACCAGAAAACATGTTGCTTTCCTTTAGATTTTATTTTTAAGTAAGCATATTTTTGTTGTATTATTCAGTCTTATCAACAATGACTTTTAATATTTAGTATATATATATATAGTGAAATGGTCTAAAATAGAAGGTCTGCAATAACAATTAACAATTTTGTAATGCAATTAACAATTTTGTTTAAAGTATTTGTAATATGGAAGTTGTTTGGCAGTATTATATGCTGGATCCGATATGTCGTAACTATATGTAACAGCAGATAGTGAATTGTTCTACTAGAACAATATATCATTGTTCATCAAAAAAAATTTCATTCTTAATGACTTAGAACTCAATCAACATTTAACAAGAACATATTTTGTAAAAGTTATATTATACAATATTTTAAAAAGTTGTGAATAATTTGCTCATTATCTATGCAGAAAGCGTCTTAGTGATAATAGCTTTACTGATAGAACGTATTAGTCTAAGAAAAATTTTTCAAAAAATGTATCAAAATGGAAATGAATTATGTTTAATATATATAGAGCATTGTTTGCATCATGCTATGTTTCCATATAAGTTATAATTTGATCCAATGTTATCAATTCTAAGAGGATATTTTTTTGTTTTAGTGAAATATGGAATATATTTTCAAGAAACATGATAAAATGGCACATAATTTCACGAGCCGGGACGGCGAGTGAAAATATGTGGCATTTTATCATGTTGAGTGAAAAATATTTACCATATTTAATGAAAGACGAAAAAATAACCTTTTTATTTAATTTCATTATCAAAGAAAAATGTTTACGAACCCCCTTGCTTGCTGCGCAACTGTAATTGCACATCGCGCAGTAATATCATTATTGTTTTGTTTTGCACGCGATATTTAGCGCTACATTGTGACGTCACGTAAACAACTATTTAAACGTCTGTACAGCGTTAATGACTGAATTAAAGATATTGGTGTTCGGATTTATTTTCTTAGTCAGACCATTTTCTATCATTCTAGATAGTTTTCAAATCAAAATTCACCAACATGTTGTTATCTATTTATCATATTTTGTAAACAAAATGGCAACAGAAGTCCCCTAAAATAAATATGAGTTTTGACTCCGCCCACTTTCATATTTATATTTCATATTTATCTTTTACAAATATGAAATATATTTGACTGATATAGCACCATATTTCATGGGTAATATTAAATAAATTATTTTATTTTTCCAATTCAATAACTTTTATATCAAAACACTTTAAGTTCTGATCAATCCCCGCTTTTATTTTCCGAGTCTAAAAACCTATAAGAAAGAATTATTGAATATGAAACCTTTATTGCTAATATATCAATGCTTATTCAGTTGAAAGTTAAGACATTTTACATAGACGTCTTTGTTTATACATTTCAAAATAGAACCCATTATAATTCATCACTTAGTAAATTTGAAAAATAACTAATCTGAATCGGTCTATAGATGACTCTATATCTATATAATATGCAAAAATGGTTAAGGTCCGTGGAACAAAATAACCACCAGATATCAAAAGAGATTTAAAAAAATCAAGGACATATTCTTAAAAAAGTACACAATTTGATTAATGAAATATGTCATATGTCGCTGTTTCGATCTAAATATTCGTCCCGAAGGATCCGAACATTGGGCGGAAACGAGGCTTGCATAATCTTCCATATTCATATCTTGAATAATTAACCTCAATAAAACAATTCTCTATGGACATTTATGTCATTACACCGTTACTATGCTGATACAACAGCGTATAAAGTTACAACTTTATTCATAACTGCGAAATTAAGTTATTCTTAGCATGCAGTTACATTCTAAAAAACGCAAAAATGACGTCATTTTAAGTTGGTTTATTAATAAAATTCGCTAGAATGACACCGTTGTATAGCACACGATTCATCCGGCACTCCGATGCCAGATTAAATTTCCGGCATGGGTAAAAGTAACGGAAACATCAATGTGATTTGCAAGGAAAATCGGTGTAGAAATGATCATTATTTAGCCCTTGACAAACGGTTTTGGTTTTTTTTGCCAGATTGTCGCCAGAGCTTCAAATAGAAACAAGGTTTTAATGACATCTTTTCAGACGTTTGGTCAATAGTGGTGAAATTAAACAGGAGTGATCCTTAGTTTCCTGTTAAATTACTAAAATTATCTCAAGGGTTACAGTCGTCTGAACAAGATGACCGCAATATCTCCAAATTGAAAAGCCTGTAAATGACAATTGCTGCTAAACCACTTGATAGATGTTGAATAAACTGCAAAGTTGTCGTTATTTTGTTGTCCAAAAATTGTTCAAATGGTTTTGTTTAGTTGTACAATCAACATGTTGAACATGTCGAAGGTCGATCACGTTACAGTTGGTAGAGAAATACTCGTTCAATTGCTCTGTATAATTTAGTTGTTTTTTTTTATAGGGAATAACTCATTTTTCAAAAATCTTTTGTGTGAAACAACAGTGTCAGAGTTAATATACTGATTTTATATGGCTATTTATTTGGATTTTAGTCAAAAATTAATCGGCAAAGATTGGTAAGTGATCAAGCGTAAAAAATCTACAAGAGGTTCGTACACAGACATTTATGATAATAGTAATATGAAAAAAAAACACTAAATGCTTATCTAAAAATGAATTTGTGAAAATGGACACTGCCCAGAAACTTAATGCCTTGTATGACATAATTGCTAATAGTAGCGGGTTGACACAACCGACATATAGCGATGAAATCGGCAAATATTTGCCAGAAATATGATATGATTTTTTATTCAAATGTTGCAAATAAGCAGACACTTTTATAGAAATGGGCTTGCCACAATGCTGTCGTAAACAAATGTCACATAAAATTCAACCTGTATTTAATCACCAGAATTTAACCAAATTGAATTATAAAACATTATCAATATTCAACAAATGAAGTATGTTCGTTGATCTATTATCCCGCGAAGGATATCGAATTTTGTTTCCCTTTTCCCATTAGAAGGAAAACAGATTTTTGAATAGCAATATCCTCCATTAAAAATATCAGAAAATATGTAGATTCAAATGTTTACCCGTTTCGTACACTACACAACCTTTATTGAATAAGTCTTAAAACAGGCATACCGGTATGCACGATACGGGTATGGGTTTGAAAAAGTTGTTATATATCCTTGCCTGTCTAGACGTTTTAAAACTATTTATTTTTTAAACAAATGCTGACGTAGAGAATGTAAAAATGCATATGGCTTTTTTATTGCATTGCTTATTTTCCACGGGACAATGCTCTATTAAATGTAAAAAAATTCGCTTACGATTCTTTTTTGCAATTATCTGATGATTTCGACAGGATAAAAGTGCCAAAACTGTATAAAACAGGTATTTCTTGAAGCGTTTATGAATAATCTTGTTTTAAGTAAATTTATAAACCAACGTTGTATATATATATGTTTTTTTCCAACTTGTGCAGGAGGACGGCTCTTAATTGGGATAATTATTATAAACACATACATGTACATATAATACCATAAAAACACATTATCATTCTGAACAGAACTATAAAAGATATATAAAACTGTACATAGTTTATGAAATCTAAACAAACGATCATTTTTATAATACCTTGTAAAAGAATCTTAACTATAATTGTGTAAAAACATTCTTATGGTCGGAAAGAAAGTTTTGATGGAAAATACACTATAATCACCACTGACCATGTAAGATGGCTTGATTCGTCCTTGGAAGCTGTCATAAAGATCTTTTAAAAACCACTCTTGAATTAATTGATGAGCAGCTGATAATTTGTGTGAAATATATGGTTTTATTGACTTTGACCAAAATATATTCATACGAATAACAAAACTGTTTAAACACGAATCTGATAACCGTCAGAATCATGAAATTTTGTTTTAAAATATTTACAAACAAGTCAATTTTCATTGACCTTCAAGTTTCAGGTACTGAATTGAGAATAAATAATGAAAGGGTATTGATGTTGAAATTGAGTTAAACCAAGTAAATGTATGACTGAGAGAGATGTGCCACTCGTGTTCTCGGAAATGAACAACGGCCGGGCAAGATTTAATCAGTATCTGACCGAAAATTGTATGTTCACGCACCAATCTATCGGAAATCATTATGTTCAACTTTATAAACAATTATCTGTCCAAGACGCATGTTTACATTGCCTTTCTTGGCGAGGTTTTATTATTTTTAGTCTTTTAGAGCCCGGACTCAGTCCTTTTTAATCATCTTATCACACATGTGAGATTTTTCTTATTCTTAATTCTTTCTCTCAACTACACACAGACGAAAGCTAACGGTAAACTTGTAATATGCAATCTGTAAGTTAGATTTCAACGACTTTTTGATCAAAATTTAATATTTAAACGCTAAAAAATGACACAACTTCTAGTTTTAAATGTCTAAATTTAAAAACTTAAAGGTACGTTTTATATGGGGTCCCTTGATAATTCTGCAGAACATTGCTTTTATACTTGTGTCAATATATTCGAATCATATTTTGCCATCTGTGAGAAAACAGTCAGGTTGAGAAATTCAAGTAGGAGTTGTGACCTTCAAATGGCATTGAAGACTTGATACAAATTATTGAATGTTCTTTTTTCTAGCGTTATCTTTGTAATCAATTTTGACAAAACACAAAATAGGATATAACCGTAATGTGTATGACTTTTACCTCTCCTTATCTTTGACCCTAAAGAAACATGCAATTGTTCTTTTTTTATATTCTTCTAGATGCAACAACATGATTGTGGAAGAACATAATTATTGGCGACGCCGTTGAGCGGCGTCGTCTCTTATGGAATGCTTTTTATTTTGGCCTATGGAAGGAGCTGTTATTATTAGCAGTTAATGTCATGTTGTGTTAATTAGTTTTATTTTGATTCGTAAAAATCAAGTAAACAAATATGTTGTTATATTTGTATTTAATAGTTTTATGTAAAAGGCATGTGCATTGTGATATTATTTTCATGAAATTGCAGGCTCAGTTTAACAGCTTGTCTCTTAGCTTAATTATTGGCAATACTAAAACCCGGATTTCGAATATCGTTGTGGTCTACATTGATGCCGTATTCTTTTTCATTCATTTATATATTTTCCTACAAGAAGAACTTTCACCTGCAAATGAGTATTAGGTAAGGTAATGGAACTGTTGTAAACGATTATCCTATTGATTTTATCCATGTTACTTTTATCTATTGCACAGAATGATTGTTTTTACAAAGTGTACCAGTATCCGGTGGATCAAGCAATATAATTAATAAAGTCTCAAAAAATCATTTTCTGAACTGTAATTCTTTTTTTTTCTAACATGTGCATAGTTTGAAAAGGACAGCTTCTGTCTTTTCTATTTGTAATGGAGGAACACCTGTCTCAACCTCCATGTCTCCAGAGTCAACCTCCAGGTCTCCAGAGTCAACCCGACAACAGACTTTTCATAGAGTAGATTGTCACTTGCCCTTGAATAAATTTGTGCACTAAAATTTATAGTGGGTGATTTGTACCACATGAAAACCAACAAAGTACAAAAAGTAACCGGGCGCCAGATGAAAACATGAAAATAAAATCTACCACATAGTGGTTTGTTTGTTGCATTTTCATGTTTTCGCTCGGTGCCCCTGATGCAAAATATAAATCAGCCTTTATTAAAATTCTTATCATAGGAAAAAGGTTAGATTTGTACCTGTACAAAAAATATATATTGTACATGTATTAGTACTGTGAGTTATGTTCTCTTTCAAATTGACCTGTTATAAATAATGGCACAACCAATAACTGTCTAAGCCCTTATTAGTAAAAATAATTACACAATATATAGATTGTTATTTTGATTAGGACTATGAGTATATAAGTTTTTTTTTCTTATTTGTGTAATTAAGAATTTATCTATCTGTTAACTATAAGTATCTGTCACGGTTTAGAACTTTTCACTATTTAGGGGAGAAATGTGATAGCTCAATCGCTACAGCCGCGGTACATTATTATGTGTGTAGTTTAATTCACTATGCTCTGTAAATATCAGAAATTTAAGGACATAAATCAATATACATGTATATAGTTGGGAAATATGTTGTGGTTTAGAACTGTTTCATTATTAAAGAGAAAATGTGTAGCCAGCCGGATAGCTCAGTTGGTCTTCTGACAGTCATGGGTTCGAGTCATGGTCAGGCAGTTTCAGTCAGGGTTTAGAAGTTTCTTTTCAACTGACACATGTTTAATTCATTTAACAGATTGTATTAAATTTGAAATGAACAAAGGCAGTATTGCATGCTACTTTTAGATCTACAAAAGGCATTTGATACAGTTGATCACACTATACTGCACATGAAGAAGTTCTTCTTCTTCTTTTTCTTCATGAAACTTCAAGCATCTGCCATAGGTAATGACATTCTTACATGGTTCAAGTCTTATCTCTGACAGCAGCTGGTGGATGTGGCTGAAACTCATTCAACTACTGCTCCGAGTACCTATTTTGTCAACCTGAGGATCATTTTAGGTCCTCTTTAATGTCTATTTTGTCAATGACATGTCTGCAACCCTAAGCAATAAGCTTTTATGATATGCTGATAACTCAGGTATCCATGTACCTGGTAAAATAAATCTGAAGAAATTCTCTCTTATGGCATGAGTCTTATAAGATTTATAAATTGACTATAAATTGTCTTTGCATCTTGGCAAGACAGAGTCTATTCTTTTTGGTTTAAGTTTCAACTTAAACTGGGTCTAGCCTCAAGGTCACATGTAATGGTACTGCTATAAAGTACATATCTTTTGTTAAATATTTAGGTGCAACACTTGATCAAATTTTTTTGGCGTCGCCTTGATGCTTTGCATTAATGCTTTTCTTGTACTGTCTTGAAATAAATTTTCAAATCTGGTTTCCTTAATGAATTGTGCTTAATTATTGATGACTAGGTTTGGATAAAAAGACATTCACAATAACAGCCTCTAGGAATGATTCAAATGTCTGTTTTTGCATTTGGTGCTTTAAAATTGTGGCCCGGCTTGAAGTGCCTTTTGTTTAAGAAACAAAAGTTGTTTCCGGGAAGCATTTATCAATTTTAGCAATAGTTCTAGTACCATTTTTCAAGCGAAATTGTTTTGTTGGATGTATATGTGACTGATTATCTTGTATGAATCCGTTATTGTAAATTTGTATCTATTTTAGTTCCTGTAGTAAACGTGTCGCTGCATTTGGTTGGACCAAGTTCTAGTTTCATAAAAGAGCATTCCCGACAAACAATCAAGTGTAAGACATCACCTGGTCGACCACAACCAAATACTAGCTGGATTCTCTATGAAGCTAACAATAACGTAAAACACAAAATTACTATCAATTCATCAATACAGATTATTTCTAGCGGAGCTGGACTTGTATCTGTCGAAAGTACCTTACAATTTTATCCAAATAGATCAATAAACGAATGGATGCTAAATTGTGAAGCGTGGACAAACAACGAAACTCGCGCCCTACAGAGCAAAAGATTGACGTTAAATATTGCATGTGAGTCTCTTTTTGAATTTATTCTCTGCGATGTTATTGATGTGATAGGAATATAGCTTACACCTTAAAATGAACGTGGAGAAATATCTTTATTAAGTTTATTTATTTGTTAAGGGTAGCGACTATGATAAAATATTTCGTCTTTAAGAATGACAAAAACAAAAAGGCCACCATTGACTGTATACAGGAAAAAGTGATTTCTATAGCAACCATTGACTTGCAATAGCAAGCAGTGATTCCGATAGCAATCATTTAATTTCCATATCAACCACGGGCTTTCCTAACTTATCAATTGCTTATTCTACTACTGGTTTCAATAGTCATTTCATACGCAACCATTTACTTCCAGGAATAACCACTGACTTCCAAAAATCATTCAATTTCTACGCAACTAGTGCAATTCATTGCAACCATTCACTTGTCATAACAAATAGAAACTTCAATAACAACCTTTGGCATCCAAAACGTCCAGTGGCTTACAAAGCAACTTGTGAATTCCATAGACAAGATTGTCATCAATATCTGCAATTGCTATCCTTAATCAACTAATGACTTCCAAGTTTTATATTGACAACTAGTGGAACCATTAATTTTCCAAAGTAATCGATGACTTGTTTTTTAAATTTAATTTATCATTCCTGTTTTGAACACTTTTGCATTTGTATCAAATGACCTTAATTTTGACCTAATACCTGTTTCATCAGGTATGAATACTAATTGTTCCATGTCATATGAAGCCTTCACAGTCAGGTGACCGACATTAATGCTAAATGTCAATAACCTCTTATTATTAATGATATGTGCATAACAACTGATAAATGTTTCAAAACCTTTATGTGAATGATTTGATATATGATTGAATTTTTATGTAATAAAACAAAGACCCCCCGGACATGCCTCCTGTTATTTCCGGATTCGAGAACGGCGAAAAGTATGCACTGATAGAATCAGAAATTGGCAAGTTGTCTTGCACTACACATGGCGGGAATCCACTTGCTACTTTGACATGGAAGTGCTATAACACTAAACAGGAATCGACAACCATTGAAGACAAAAACGTTTCCAGCACTGTTACATGGTCAGGTTTACGTGATCAATCATCTTGTACTTGTATTTCAAATCATTCTTGGTCTGGAACAACACAAACTACGACAATAGGGATTGATGTTCTTTGTAAGTTTTAATTCTCACAACATGTATCATTATTTTGTGAAATTTGGACTTTCGTTAGTAACCAAACGGTCTTTAGTCCTGAAAGATAAATAAGCCTCCTGCTTTAAAGTGATAATAGTATCAAACTTTTTTTTAAAAATGCAAAATGTACTTTAATTTATTTTCAGTATGACTTATATAATAAATGCCAATAATAAACTATATGAATTATTTTGACATTTTTTCAAGACTCTCCAAACAAACCAACATTAACAATCAGCAATACAGACGTTTCAAATGTTATTAACGTTATACTGAACAACACCGTCCACGTTAAATGCGAAAGTAAAAGCAAACCACACCCAACGTACTCATGGACAGGTCCTGTCGACATGCAAAGAATGATACAAATACTAAATGTCACAATTAATGACACAAAAGACAGGAAGTATAAATGCATTGCAACAAATCGAATGGCTAGACAAAATGGTACATACGTAGATGGACGTAATGAATCTGACGTTACAATAAAGGTGCTGTGTATGTATCACTTGTTAACTCACACTATCTTTTCATTTTTTACTTTTGGTATGACTGTCATTTAATATTTATTATTATCGTTACATTTTAAAATATGTTAATTAGTCTCAATTAATTTAATTCTAGTTAGACATTATTATCTCAGATATACAAATTTGGGTTATTCAATTATAGAATAGATTTGTAAAAATGTACGCAGCTATCTAACATTCTTGTAGTATTCAAATTTTAAAAAGTAAGTGCACACACGGGAAAATAGAATGTCAATAATATAAAATGTCATGTTTTTATCAGATCCACCTGGGAAGCCTTATTTCAAATATGAATATAGCAATGGCACAAAGGTCAATACTCAAAACGTGATAGACGTTATAACAGGAGACTCGTTTACAGTGCATTGTCTTGCAACAGGAAATCCACAACCTACAAACAAGTGGGACAGTAATGAGGGCAACGATATTTTAAAGATAACTTCAATTACTTACGACACTTCTAAAACATGTCATGCAATGTACACAATGGAGGAAACAGTCGGTGAACGTCGAACAGGATCGACATCTGCGTCATTTTTTATCAGGGTTCTTTGTACGTATATCTATAGTACCATAAAGCATGAATTTAAGAACTGGTTGGAACAGAATTTCAAATAGTAACTTGTAACCGTGTAAAAGTGGTCTATATATTTGAAATATTTACGCATGAGTAAAAACCGCCTTGTATTTCTTCTATTTATAGCGTTAAGATTTATCTTAAAAATACTTAGTAAAAGAAATATTTTTTTTTAAATTTTAGTGTTCGTTTTTCTAATATGCATATAAGATGTGTTGCTCAAAACGATTGTACTTAAATTACTAAAACTGTCAGTAAATGGTTAAATACTGCCATTGTAAATGCTTATCATTATATTTATAGATCCGCCACATATTCCTAAGTTCACGATTTCGAACGGAACGAGACAAGTAAACGTCACAACAGCGACTATACAACTAAAAGAAACAGACAACATCAATATGACATGTTTTTCTGATGGAAAACCTGTTCCAAAATACACTTGGACTAGCCACAATGCTCAAATACATAAACATATATGGCAATTTGCTAATATTATTCGAAAGGATGCCGGGAAGTACACGTGTAATGTGAGTAACGTGATGGAACGCAGTCTTGGTGACACTAAACATGGGTTGAACGTTTCAAGCATATATCTCGATATATTGTGTACATTTAGACCTATATATATAATTTATTTGTAGATATTTGCAATATATGCAATGTGGAGAATAACATAATTATTGTTTGAGCCTGCATATTTTGAATTTGACTACCTTAACTTCTTTTAAAACTCGGTTGCAGATCCATCAACGATTTCATCACTAGAAGACATAAGTATTCTCGAAGGTTCAGACCTAAATGAAACATGTCGAGTTCAAAAGGGAAACCCAACTACAGAAAGTGTGTCATGGACTAGAATAAGTGATGGCAAGAATTGGAAGAATAGCCTACTGATTATAACTAATGTTTCTAGAGCAGACGATACAAATTATACATGCACTTTACGAAGTACAATCATCCCAACAATTGGTGAAGAAACATTGATTATAAGAAGCAAAACAATATATCTAAATGTTTTTTGTAAGTTTTCTGTGTTATTATAGTCAAAATCACTATTATATCAATCACTCAATGTTAATATTTGTTTATGGGAAGAGCGTGAATAACGCAAGCGTATTATGTGAACTTTTTGAGGCTCTTATTTATCAAGACTTACGTTCTTATAAAAAAAACCTGTAACCAGACCTAATTGTTTACACGTTCACAGAGAAGTTAGTCGTTTTATTGAAATCACATTTGAAACTGTATAACACATAAGCATACTCAGACTTTTCCATTCATGTGTTTTCTCCTTATCATCAAAGCTAAATCTTTCAACTGAATATTTTATATTTCATTTTATATTTTAAAGCCTTCCTTTTATGAGAAGCAAAGGATTTAACATATTTTTTAATTTAAGTAACTTTCGGCACAACTTCCGCTTTTTCTACCGTAGTGTGTAGTTTTTGTCAATTAATAAGCGAAACTGAATTTAAACATATTTAGGGAGGCAAACACATGATTTTTTTTATTCTGACTTATAATATGTTTCAGTTTCTTCAGAAATCAAACATTTTACTGTTGTAAAAAACAAGTCAAGTGGAACGTTTATTGTAAACCAAAGAGATGAAGTTTCATTAGAATGTACAGCAGAAGCTAAACCCAGCCTCGGATTTATCTATATACAATACACGTGACAGTATGATATCGACAGTAAAAAACAGAAATATGCTTCTTTACAGCATAAATAATGCTTCGTTCGAAAACGCAGGCAAATATAAATGTGAAGGCAGAAACATTTACACAAAAGATAAACCATCAGTTATCAGAACTGACAATGATTGTCAAATGTAAGTTTAACCTGCTTTGCATATGACTTTCTCTCGTTTAGTATCGTTTAGTCTATCTTTGTGCATTACCATTGGCGTAAACGATAAAAAATACTTGTTTCTTTCACAACGAATAAGCTATCAATATTTTTCATTTCCCGGTACGCCGTATCAAAAGGATACTATAACTTAACTTTTGTATTGTATACCTGCAAGTAAAAGGATGTGTCAAGTATCGGTTATACATTTAACATTTTCCTATCTTCCTATCTAACATGTTCCATCCTATGTAACATGTTCGTTCTTTGATTAATCTGTAAATTTTATATTTTTTAATGTTTTGTGCGATCGCTGTTTCAGTTAAGAAAAAAAATGAATTAATTTGTTTTGCATTGCTCTAAATTTTTAGATTTAAACCAAATCAGCGAGTGTCGAGGGATTGAATGTATCCAGAAAAAAACATGTTTTTTTCTGCTTGCTGTAAACTGTTTATGCAAAATCAGTCCGTATATATTATAGTCCGGGTGTGTGGCATTTGTGATGTGTTCTATTTTTTTATAAGCTATTCATGCTTTATCTGATACAAGAACAGTCTATTGAATGTATAAGTTTTTTTTAAAACAGAAATAAATTATCTACGCGCTCAATAGCAATATTTTTTAATATTCTTATTTTCTGACGAACATTCACTTCTGATCAGTAAGTTTTCTTTTTGCATTATAACTGTTAAAACCGTTTTCTATGCAGAATGCTTTTTCAGTAAAGATTATTTTTATATACGGCAATGGCAAAACTATTTAAGCAACTGTGCTCAAATAACAAATACGTAAATGGTATAATAGAGAACAATTTTTCTATTTTTGCTGATTATTATATATGCTTTGTGGCGAACATTTCTGCAATCATGTACCAATTTTAGAAAGAAAAATGTCACTTCAACTGTGCCTTGCATTCAATGACCATTTTTCAGTTTTTTTTTTAATTTTCTACTTAATAAGCAATGTTTAAAAAAATAAATATAAAGTCTTAAAATATTGATTTTAGGTGAATCCCCAATGTTTTCAACTTTAGTCACAGTTAAGTGTTGAATCTCTTTTGAATTTTAACCAATTTTTGACATAAATTTTAAGTTAAAAAAGAGGCATCATATTATTATTACTACTAATGTATAACTTTTAGCAAAGGTTCCCTTGCATGTTGGTTGATTTGTCCTATTGTGTTTTCGCCCGCGACTCCGCAAAGCGAAAAGTTGAGAATTAACAAGATAAATGGTGGGGGCGCGGAGCAAAAGCATGCTATTCAGCGGGGGCAAATGGCGACATATTATATCTCTGACTTTACACCCCGCTTATGAGGGTGTTTTCGCTCCGCACCCCGCTGTTTTATTTCTAAAATCTCGCTGTGAATCCCGCGCGGGGTGACGTTTTTATTTATAATAAATCGCCCTGCGCCGTCGCAAATAAGCGCGTTTTCGCTCCGCGCCCACCGTTTTAATTTCTGAAATCTCGCTACGCGGCTGTTTTTATTTATTTAGTCTCGCCCTGCTTATTAGTGATTTTTTTGCTCCGCGCCTCGCATTTCAACTTGTTAATTGTTGTCAACATTTGCTTGGGGGGGGGGGGGGGGTGGCGTGACAATAACACGAAATGACACTAATCAGCCACCATACCATAGGCTTATAATTTGACAAGATTAACAAGTTTTCAGAATTTCATGTTGATGTCTTTTATTGTTTTGAATTCATTCTAGTACGTAATTAAAAGGGGACATTACTCTAAAAAATAGCTTTTACAATAAAATCTCATGTCTTACAACTGTTTTTGTCATGGTAAGCAAGTATTCCAAGTTTAATATTGATACCTTTGAAATTGATTGGGTAATGGTCTACACTAAAGTTTGTGCTTGATGACGACGACAACAACGACGCCACAGTGCGCATAACTGTTCGACATTTTCTTCAAAACTGACAAGCTTATGTATATTTTTCCTTTTTGCTTATACATCATTGTACATGTACATGTACATTATTTATTAGCTAAAGATTCACATGTATTTTAGTAGGTAAATATCACATGGTCCATTTGCTTTGGTGATCATGTAACTGAGGATGTAGGAGTGATGAAGGGTCACGGTTAAGGTTTTTTGTTAAATGTTTTTCTTAACACTACAACTCGTGCGATGTTTCTTGTGTAAATCCTTTTTCGTTGTATTCTTCCTGCTTTAATATGGTTGTGACTATTTCTTTTAAAATATATTATATAAATTCCAGGTTCACCACGACCGTCACTTGCAATGGTATTCCCAAATAAGATTGCAGCTGCTCAATATACAAACAAGACTTTGAATTTTGTTGCCTATGAATACTTGGATGAAGAAAATAAAACAAAATTCATGTGGCTTCACAAAAACATTTCAATCGACAGAAATGATGAAAAATTTGAAATAATTTCAATTGGATTGAATTCTAGCCTTTCTGTAAAAAACATTACACAAATGGATTTTGGAGAATATAGCGTCAAAGTTTCAAACACAATAGGAGAGTATATTCATCACTATATGTTGCAAGCAGAAGGTAAACTATATTTCTGAATTCATATTAATCTTCAAAAATTAACTGATAGTGTTTATTGTCTATGCATAATGATCTTATGAAAATGATATATGCATAGTATTGTTAAATAAAAAAAAAACGTTGATACATTATGATTAATAATCATCTACTGATTTAAAAAAGTGTCGTATTTGCGTATATTATTTCTTTATTCTAAGTGTCTTTTTACAGAAAAGCCAGATGTGCCTATAAATTTAACATACAAATCCGGATCAATCACTAAATCGTCAGTAACATTGGTTTGGACTCCAGGTTTTGATGGTGGCTTTCCACAGACTTTCATTTTGTTATATCAGTACAATCAGGAGGAGAAGTGGCATAGCGTTCAAGTTCAGGATACAAATGAACAGGCAATGGACTATACGTTAACTGGCTTGTTGAGTTCTAAAGTGTATTATATTACAATGTTTGCAATGAATAAAAAAGGGAACTCTTCCTATACCCAGAATCTTCAGATCACAACTAAAAGTAAGTCGATGATATAAACATTTGCTTATTTCTATTACCCAAAATACGTTTACAAAATGATGACATTCCTGCATTTATATTTGTTTGTTCGTCTGTGTTTTCGATTTTTAAACACTTACGGTATCAAACAATAAAACATGAAATGAAAAAGGTTACAACAAGGCAAAGTTCAATTCATAAGCTTTCCACCTTAGTAAATTATTTTATTTGTTTCCGTGCCATCACAGGTAATTTTGGTTGTTATTTATTACTCGTAATGTATTCATTTAATTATTGACATGACATGCGTGTTGCATTTTGTATTTTGCACATATTGAATACACTTCCATTGGTTTGCGCCACGAAGTAGCTGTGTTGCTTTTTCTTTCCAACTTTGTAAATTATTTTATTTGTTTCCGTGCCATAACAGGCCGAAACAGCCCCTCCTTTATTAAGAAAGAGGAACCCTAAGACATTGGTGGCCAGTGTGGGGAAAATGTCACAGGGTGAGAAAAATGTGCAGCCTGACCGGGACTCGAACCCGAGACCCTCGGAATACCGTACCGCGGCTCTACCGACTGAGCTATCCGGCCGCTTACACATCTTCTCCCCTATATAGTGAACAGTTCTGAACCGTGGCATACTCCCCTGCTATATTGAAATTCGTCCTCGAATTTCACAGAGTTACAGAGCAATATGAATTAAACTCTGAGATGTATTCAGTCACGTTACCCCGTTGGGCGCCAAATGTCACAGGGTGAGACAAATGTGCAGCCTGACCGGGACTCGAACCCGAGACCCTCGGAATACCGTACCGCAGCTCTACCAACTGAGCTATCCGGCCGCTTACACATCTTCTCCCCTAATTAGTGAACAGTTCTGAACCGTGACATATGCAGTGTTACCTATGTGTTCCTTGGTTTATTTATGTATATTTTTCAGTAAACGTTAAAACAGCAGACTCACAATCATCAGATAACGTTGGCATTATAGGTGGAAGTATTTCAGGTGTTGCTGTTGTTATGATTGTGAGCATCCTTTTAGCTGCATTTTTCTTAAAAAGAAGGTAATAAAAAATAATTCAGTCATATACATTTTGTATGTTGCTCTGTTTTTATTATTTCGCTAAAAGGGTGAAGATTGAACTATGGTGTATAACTTTAATGGCATACTGGTGTTAGTTTTATTTTAATTACTTTATATGTATTCTACAATTTTCCCAATTACTTTATTGCTTCAATGTGAGTCATAAAACCTCTTTTATTTATAAGTTATATTTTTTAGTGATTAGGTTCTTTGCATGGTAAGAAACTTACCCACCACTTTGAAATATTATAGTAGGGAGATTATATTGTTTGCTTATGCCATAGCGATGCATTCGAAATATAAAAAACTGTAGACAGCATTTAAAAACTTAAGCGCATAAAGAAATGACAAACAAATTTACATGTATATTGAATATATTCACGACTTACATTCAAGCATATACACAGATAGACATTCAAATTTCTGATATATATATTTGTAATCAAACAATATTTTTTTTTTGTTGAAAAATTAATCATACATTTCATAAATGCAATTTGCAATGACTAAAACTAAAGGAAATATACATGTATTAATCAAACGCAATGGAACTCAAGAAGAACGTTTTAGAAAATCCAGTGATAAAATGTCCGCATAATTCAAACAAAATGCGATCATTGAAGCCTTAGGGGATATAAAGACGTGCTTGCGTGTCGCATTATTTTATAAAAACGATAGGGAAACATATTGTAAATGCTACATTTGAATCAGCATTATGGAGAAACAGAATTTTTTTATTTTTTTTTGTTTGTTTTTTGTTTGTTTTTTTTTTTGCAGATTGTCTTATATATTTCGTTTAAACACATTCATTTTAAGCTAGATTGCGAAGCAAGTTCTGGAAACAAAAGATGTTGCTTTTTTATTATCCATCATGTACAGAATCAATCAAACCACATCTGCACTTTCCGTTATTACTGCAGGGGAATCACCCTTCGCCAGACTCATGCATCACGATAGCAGCTGTCAAGCGCCATATGGCAGAATTAAACATTTACCCCTTATTGCTCACCAGTATCGTTATATTTTTGGGTCCTTTGGGATCATTCATTCCAGCAGTTTTAAGTGTAGAAAATTGAATACCTCTCGTTGCTAGCGGGAGCGAGGGATGTTGCACTTTTTCATTTTCTGCCAAGTACAGACTCCATCAAACAAAACCTGCAATTGTCATGAAATTTTGTTGTGATGTATGTTTTTGAGGGATAACCCTTTCCACAAATCTTTATAATAAATTAATTTTGGTTCCGCTCCCCGGAACTAACCAGGACTGGAATTATTTGAAGACACATGGTAGTGAACCAGTACGGGCAGTGTTTTTTGTTTTGTTTGTTTGTTAGCAGTGATTTTTGTTTGTTTGTTTGTTAGTTCACTTAAAAAACAAATATAATAAAATGTTTTAATTTAAACATAATATTAAGTATCTTATAACTATGTAATGTATAAAAAGTTAAATTCTGTTCACTGTTGCTATTGTTATTTTGACAAAAACTTGTGTTTTCAGAAATATAAGATCTTCACAGCGTGAAAGTCCCAAACAAGGTAATAAAAAAAATGTAAACGCCTTGTTTCCTGCCTCCATGCTTACCTTTTTCCTGCTGTTACGTGTATAAGTTGTAACAATTTATGTATATATATATATATATATATATATATATATATATATATATATATATATATATATATATATATATATATATATATATATATATATATATATATATATATATATATATATATATATATATGTATGTATGTATTCACTAAGTTATATAACTTGCTATGGTATAGAGTTTATATTGGTATACTTATAATAATACACGTTTGTAATGTCGCTTTCCATTGGATAATTGTGACGTTTATATAGTTTTATATGCACGGCTGCTGTCAATTTATGACTAAATCTCGTTTTTTTCTTAAGTGGAAGTTTGCAGTATTATAAATTCGTTATAAATATTCGTGACAGGTTATATGGACGAATATGGACGGATATAAACAGTTTTTCGCAATATAGCACTCGACTAGCGGCTCGGGTTATATTAATAACCGTTTATATTGGGACATATGACCTGTCAAAATCATTATAACTAATATAATATAAATGATTATCGTGAGGTGTTAATATTAAATTATTATTATTAAGAAACTAATGATTTTTTTATATTTAATTTGTAACTTTTTGAAGCACACAGGATTTGTTGCCTTTAAACGTTACACATTTATACAATTTCTTACATACTCAAACATTAAAAAACATAGTTGATTTGCGATACCTATAATATAGACTCGTTGAATTAGGTGTTATTGCCGGGAGTCATGTCTCATCTACGTACACAGATTTGGATGCAAGCAGGAGAGAAATTAATAATTATGATGACTTCAATGTAACATATGAACATCTGAACGCTTCAACCCGGGCACAAAATACATACATGGAGTTGAAAAATACAAATGTACCGAATGCTGACACTTCCGACTACGTTAATATAAGAATATGAACTATCATTTTAAATTGTTTCATGAAATGTTACTAAATACTTAATTTTGTTTAACGAAACATTTATAAAATATAGGCACGAACAGTTGGCGAAATATCATATTATTATAGTAATGTTTATATTCTATGTGAATTCATGATTAATGTATGATGAAATTAATGTTTAAAAAAACACGTTTAATGTAGTATTTTATGGAAGAGTACAGGAAAAAACTGATACTAAATTACTAATGTAAAATTTATATTGCGAATCATTTATTATAGATGTTGTTGAGTGAAGAATGGTTGTAGTTTGAATTTGTAGTTTTAATTATCTATTTTATGTTTGTGTAAGGTACATGTATATATTATATTGATAACAATGTTGCTTATAATGGCAAAAAATGGTTCATACATAAATTTGTTATGGAACTTGAAGTGATAGAAATTATGATTTGTACATACATATTGGTATAATGTTATAGTTGGTTTTGTTTGTGCCATACTCTCGAAACCCTACGGTGAAAACTGCTAAAGATAGTGCAGATGCATACTTCTGTTATGGACAAGCTTTGTTAGACTTGGCTCGAATAGAGAATGATGTGCTTGAAAACGCCTTTCAAAAATATTATATGTTTATGTCTGAATTTTTTATATCGAGAATTTATAAAATGATAATAATAATGTAAATAAATTTCTCGAATTCTGAATACTGTACCTTATATACACACGCACACATTCGATGCAGCGGTCCGAAACGTCAATCAGAAGTAGGAGTACATTGATTGGTTAAATTGACCACCCTTTCATACCTTTGTAGTTGTAATACTTAACTTATCTAAGAATATTATTGATACATTGGGTAGATCAAATCCAAAATACAGATATGTGTTAAAATAAATAAAGACACAATTGCAATGTTTTTGTTCATTCTAATCTTGAAGCATAGAAACGATATACATATAGTTAATTCTGAATGAAATATTAAAATTTTCTATATCAACATTTCCATTGAAATATGTTTTTTTTTTGAAAATATATTTTAGCTTACAGGTTATACACAGTGTTGAGCAAATACAGCAATATTGTTTTACCAATTTTATGCGATATTTTTCTCTAATATGCTTTCAATGCAATTATTATTAACTTTATTATATATTTATTTTCCTCAAACAACTAAAAGCCTATAAACACAGAATTCAAACTAACCTTGTCAATTTATTTTCTTTCAATTAATGCGTCAAGGGAAATAGCAAACCTTAAATTACATTACTGAGGTTTCACTTGTTATATTTCAAACAAAAGTAACTGTTTTGTACAGCTTTCAAACAAATTACAAATAAGGTAATGCTATCGTTAGTAAGTTGGCTTCATTATTCGTTTTAATAATACTTAAAATAGCATAATATAGATTTTGTATAAGCATACATATAGATATTTGTTAACAACTTACATTTAAGCCACATGTTTTGTCAAGTTGGTAGGGCATTATCAACATAATAAAATACATTTTTTTCGTTCATTTGGCTTTCTAAAACAAACGAATACACTAAACTATAAAACTTTTAGAAAGTAATTGTCTTGTTTTCATTAAGAATTTTAGTAAAACTATTCAGAGTAAAGAAAACCCTCTGAAAATGAACATTTTAATAAATTGTTTTCTTTAAGAATAGATGTTTTAAACAAGCATTGTATTTATATTATCAGGTTTTATTTCGTTTTAAGAGTCCACTAAACATGTCACCTAATTGATGAAGTTAGAACAAAGATAAGAAATGATGTATGTCGATTTGAATTAATAAAACAAAATGATACATATACATGCTCAACTTAAGGACAAATGAAGGAAAGACGACCATTTTGACTACAATAAAAAAGATTTTACGCAATACGTTAAATAAGTTTTAAATATATATTTTTTACGTATGACATCAATGAAATTTAGGTGATACATGTACTTGTGAATAGATTAATGATACATATGATAAAGTACTGCTGCAACGATTAAACTATGATGTATATCTTTTATTATGTTATCAAAACATAAAACAAAATGAAAATACGATAAATTGCATGTGTCACTGTTTTTACGAAATACGTCACAATTATAGTCTAATGGTTATCTTATGTGTAGGGAAAATGTGTTGATCGGATGTTGTCATATGTTTTATTGAAATTTCAACGACTTGTACTTAAATGTTGGCAGGTTGACATTATCAGCTACAGGTATTATAAATTCAGATTCAAATTGAACAATGAGGTTAATTTGTTTTACCTATATTCTTCCATCTACTTCTGAATCTTTATTGAAAATGATACATATATAGTATAAGAATGTAAACCGTCCGAAAGCAATATTGTGGTAATAATACGTTGCTAAATTTAATAAAATTACTAAGACCAAAAGGACCTTGTCTGTATTTAACTATGTCGGTTTATAACTTAACAAAGGCATTAGACACAGTGCTAACGCAACATATAAAGGACGAAACACACAATGCATGATAGGATTAAGTATTTGAATATTTTACTTGGGTCATAAAACATCGTATATTAAATTAAACAACACCTTTCAACCATAACCAACTGCATATTTACATATGAATTGTAAACGTAATGACATTCCTTTTTATATGAATAATGTGTTATCTAAAGTGAAGTTGGATAAAAGAGAAGAAATCGCATCATGTCGTATATTTTATTCTGGTAATAAAGTTTTTGTCATTTACCACTAAATGACCTTGACCTATCGATATAGGTTTATTATGTATACGTAAGATACTGTTTATACAAAATTCGATTCAGGAAGTAATGGAGCTGTGTATACATTATACACACGTAATGTGTTAATCGACAAGGATACCTTTTAACGTAAGTAGCTGTTATTGAATCTATTTAACACTAACCGACATAAATATTAGACTACTAAAATATAATAAATATATCAGAAAAATGTACAAACTATCTATAATTTGAAATTGCATGTTTTTAGAGGCAAACTGTCAAATGTTATACACAATTTTACTCACCTGCTCGCAAAATGCTAAAGGTGTGTATTATTGTCTTTAAGTGAACTTATGGAGAAGTATCTACATAAATTTACTCAGTAATGAGGGAAAGAAACGCACAGCAGAACAATAGTGTACATCATTTCTAACATTTTTGTCTCAAATGTTTGATGCCCATATCATTGCCTTTTCATCGGAACACGTTGTTTGTACTTCCCACACTTTTTTTTTATGTGTTTTACGGATTGTATTAACATAAAAGTTGAAAGAAAATACCCGAACTAGTTTTTAGCACGCCAAATATTAACGAATCATTTTCCAAGAAAACATAAAGGCTTTAATCCCCTAATGTTTTTGTTACAGTCAAGAGTATTTAGAAATTAGCCATATGTGCGATCGTTGAGTTCGATTTGGTATGTAAGTAGTTGTCCACAAAACTTAACAGGGAACTTTAAACAGGAACTCTTAGTTTACAACCCACTGCAATTCATTCAAATGCATACAGGCGTTAATGACCTTATATAAAGATCCATTTACGGCATTAGGTTTAATTTATAAAGAAGTTTAATTCCAAATTGTCATTTTCAAAGAAATTAATTTGTAGTCAGAAAGTGATCAATTAAACCAGTAAAATTGTATATCACTAGAAAACGAAAAGTTGCTAGGACAGCAATTGAACCTTGCTAACAACTTATTTTTAATTAATTTTCGAAAAATCTAAAACAAGCTAGACAGTTGTTCTTAAGCAACACATTTTTTATGTATATGTTTGGTTTTAAGTCACACCGACATTTTTTAAGGTCATATTCAATTGGTTAACTCGAGGAGAAGTACCACAGTAACATAGCATACAAAGAAATAGCAATTCAAATAAACATAAACTGATGTTTTATTTATTTTCGGTAATAACGATGTACCTATGGTCGTGGCACACAAATGCATTTTGATGTGAGAGAAATTTGAGAAATGGTAACTGTTAGTAAAATAAATCTGGAAAGTGATCCCACTGAAGCATTATTAACAACAAAAGTATATGAAAATTGCAGAATCGGTTCCATTGAGTTGGTACATAAGGGATAATGATTAAGTGCAACATCCCTCACCCCCGTCTAGCACCGACTTAAGTAATACGCTTTGTCAGTCATCATTTAATTTCAAAGAGGTGCGAGTAGTTCATACACACTTTGGCTATTACAAAAAGATGCATGGAATCTATTAATAAAATGAAGAAATACCTATTGACACATTGAAATAAATGTTTTCTCTCACAGTACCATCGTCGCATGCAAACACAAGATCAGCGTGAGAGGAATTCACTGAATGTAAAGTGAGCTTGAATTCGCCTGCAGTTTCATTAAAGGTGAATGCAGATGTATATGGTTTAACACAGTTTCCATGTTTATCAAATATAACTGAATTTAGGAGTAAGATATACATTATGTGTTTGTTGTTGTTGCTTTAGAAATGTCTAAAGTTAACAAACGCTGTAAAAAGGTAAGCGTGCTGGACTATTCTTAGCGCTTGATAGTCACAGAAGAGCCTGGGTAATAAGTTCAAAAAATGCCATAATTCTGTCACCATTCATGTAAGAGTTAATGTTCTTAGATATTGTTCTCTTGATATGCTCTCAAATAAGTGTGTTGAGCTTTATTACATCCCTTTTGTAGATTTAGAAATACCAACTTACACACAAAAAATATTAACCAAAATTCTGTTTGAATTGTCGAGCTTAAATGATATCGTTAATAACAATTATGAAAACTGCATGCCTTAATGAAAAGAAAAGACTGGATATCAATTTTTCATACCCGATAATTATGTTATAATTATGTGTGTAACGCGTAGCTAGTTGATCAATCACCATAATTATAAACATAGACAGCTTACTTAAGTATCAATATGGTTTTGTTATTAGTAAATACATTATTATCGGTAAATTATGTTAGAAATGCGTTAAGTAACCTGACCATTTAACTTCTGTCTGTTACTTGTGAAGTAACTTGTGTAAACGGGCAATATTATGAACCTTTTCCAGTTATAAAAAGATCTTTATATAATTCAAACTATGAATATTGATATATCACGCGTTAGCCAAATAATAAACGCGATAACTTATCGATTAACACGTTTAAAAAAACCTGAGCTTTAAATTATGATTTCATAGCATTTTATATGCTTTTCACTTGACATGCTTGACAAAATTAGCTCTGAATGTCAAATAATTTGTTATAGAACAAGAGCCACCGCCGGGCGGGGGTAACGCTCGACTTTTTACTTTCTCTAAAAGCAAACAAAGAAATGTTTGAACAAAATCTTAACGTTTCCTTTTATTAGAATTAATCGGTCTGTCTTGTCAAATTAGTTTTGTCTATATATTTTAAATAGAAACACGCGATTCTATAATAGAAAATTCTTTAAATAGATAGATCACGTGGTGGAGTCACGTGGTGGAGTCAAGTGGTGAAGTCACGTTGTGGAGTCACGTGGTGGTGTCACGTGGTGGAGTCACGTGGTAGAGTCACGTGGCGATGTCACGTGGTGGTGTCACGTGGTGTTGTCACGTGATGGTGTCATGTGGTGGAGTCATATGGTGTCACATGGTGTTGGAGTCACGTGTTGTTGTTGTTGTTGATGATGATGATACATTTATATATATACACACACACCACCAATAATATATATGGTCATTTAATGCACAAATCTGAGAAAATTCAGTAATTTAACCTTCAAGGTCAAGGTCATTAAAGAGCCCAAGTGTTTGATAAACAACAAGGTCTTGTCCTTAAGTATGTTCTGTTATAATATGAAGTTGATCCTTCAATAATAGCAAAGTTACAGCCAGTTACAGCCAAAACAATGAAAATTTCAATAATATGAACTTCAAAGTCAAGGTCATTAATGAGTGAAGGTCAAGGTCTGTCTGGTTTTTTAAGGGTTATCCTTGAACATTATTATGTTCAAGTTTGAAGACAATCCATTCAAAAATAACAAGGTTACAGCCAATAACAGCATGAACAAGCAAAATTTGGACTTTTAACCTTGAAGGTCAAGGTCATTTATGAATGAAGGTCAAGGTTAGTGTGGTCTACTGAAAGGTCTTGTCCCAAGGGTTGTTGTGGCCAAGTTTGAAAACAATACAAAAAAACAACATGTTATGTAGCTAGTAATCTTCATAAGAATATGAGTATTTCCGTTAAGGGAATTACACAATAAAATACAGTGGAGCCTTGCTTATCCGAACCTTTATTATCCGGAATCCTTTCTTATCCGAACGAAGTGTCCGGTCCCGATTTTATTCGGTCTATTTTCAATAGTAAAAAACAACCTTTCGGATCCGGAACCTGTCTACTCCGATTTCCGGACGATCTTTTCAATTTTTGTTCTTATTTTCCTCTAAAATTAACCTCTCGGATCCGAACAGATGTTGCCAAATGTCACACCTACATTCAAAATAACAAATAATCACACATCTTGCAGGTGTAAACATACAGTAACCTTCCTTGATTAATGGGTGAAACTTGTGATCTGCAAAGGTGTGAAAATAACACTTAGCTTCTACTATAATTGCTTAATTGATTGATTTTTGTCATCTTCAATAAATATGTTGATGTAATGGAATTAAAGACCCGTGATTCAGTAACGGGAATTAATGAAAAGTGCCAGTGAATTCAGATAATCGCTGAATAGGATAAGAGTAAACAACAATTGTCTCAGCCTCCTGTTTAACATCATAGGTTAACTTACTCTTGAGGACATACCATTTTTGCTGCTTGTTTATTTTTGTATTCACATGTATTAAAATGAACGATAAGGGATTGCAAAAATAAAATATTTATATTGAAATTTCAAATGCATTCCCGTTTTCTTTCCAATAACATGAACTTACATGTAAAAATCCTTCTTATCCGGTAACCTTTCTAATCCGACCTATTCTTCTGGTCCGGACGAGTTTGGATTAGACGGGTTCCATTATACAGAATAACGACAGGCCGTATCACTTAGTTCGCTAAACTAGATTCAAACATTCTTAAATGAATGTCTATTTTAATGACTTCATTGAAATGGTTTTCAAAGATGATTACCTGTGAGAAAAATGTGCACTCCAAACATACAATTTTTTAGAAGGAACAATCGTATCACGCAAAAGCTTAAGAAAACAAAAAAAATTCAAAAATATTGATGTTGCGACAAAAAACTCGTGCATTTAGATACAATGTAATATCTAATGCGTTTAAGGTGCGTTTTGCATTCACGTAAAACATTAACATACACATACTTCAATGTATGTATCATTTTAAACTTAGAAAATAAGCTAAATCATGTATGTAGCAAAGTACAATATGCACATAGTTGAAATATTTGACATTGACATATTTATTATGAAAATATAAAACAGAACCTAATAATGAATAAATTGGAGAAAATTCCATACAATGTACTCCCAGAGTTAAGCACCAGTCAGAATATAAAACTCAATGTTATTTAAGTCTAAGTCACTGCTTTGCTGGTAAAGTTCTAAATTATCACAGTTTTATTTATTATTGAGTATGTGTATATGTACCGTTAGACATTTTGGAAACCTTTGATATCGTTCTTAATGTTGACCTTTTATTACAATATGCAACCTGTGAATTCGTGCTACAATCACTTTAAATGTGTTTGACACAATTGTCTGCTATCTTAAGACGATTTGTTCCTCGAAGATACACATTCGTACCTCAAACGTTTAGATCACACTTTTAGTTTGAAGGTACACATTATCACAATCAAGGTTTAAAGATACATACATGCATGTCTGTACTGTTATATTGCCATGCATTGAACGATTTTAAAATAAAGTAGAATAAATGTCTACATTATCAAGTCGACGTGTCACGTTTTTTTCCCTTTAAGATCAAAGTGACACTTATAGTTTGAAGGTTCACATTAGTGTCCTGACTGTAACTTTGTTATGAATTGAAAGACTAAGGCCCATGTCACTTAAAGTTCAATTTCGCACTTAGAGGTTAAAGGTTAACCACTTGCTCAACAATGGCGTTCTGGCTGTAACCTTGTCAGATATTAAAGGATTTAAAATAACTTGTAATCAATGTCTACTACATCATGACTTTGTGTCATGTCTAAGACCTATGTCCCTAACTCAAATGTCAAGGTCAGACATACAGTTTTAAGGGAAACTTTATCATAATAAGGGTTTAAAATTACACATATTTGTGTTCGGACTGTAACTTTGTCTTGCATTGAATCGACTTTTAAAAAGACCCTAACATATAGATGTACCCCATCAAGACGCAACGCCATATATTACTACATTAATTTTCTTTCAATTGTGTTCATTTTTTTTCCAATTTACTGAGCGTATCAGCAAGGTATCGGTACAGAAATAAAGATAGGATAAAAGTTTTAGGCACAATGCATATTCTCTTATTTCCATTCTTCGCTTTTTATAATTTTAAAGTTAGCGTCCGGACAAACACGATCTGGACAGATAAACTGTTATTTCACGTTATTTAACTGTTAAATTATAACGTTTGATCCTCCTCTGTGTATGCACATAGAAAATCATAAGATATAACACTGCAACGCCTTACATTTTGTTTATTTTATTAACATGGTTGATCCAAAAAAATATTAAAATTCTTTAAATTAATTAATATACAATATTGCGAAGCGAATTTAGTTTTTGCAGGAGAGGAAGTATTTAAAGTACATACATTTTTAGGTTTAATATTTATAATACATTCATCATGTGTTTTCATAAGAATGTTTTGTTACAGGCAGATACTGTAAAGCAGGTTTCGTTTACATTTTACGATTGTTAAAGTCTATAAAACTTCGAAAGTCCGTCCTGTTATGCCTGTCTTTCATGATGAAGTAGTTGTGTTCAACTTCCTTTTTATATGTTTAGATTAAACTCAACTGTGTATATAAGATACAATTTAATTGAATTTGCAAAATCAATATGTTAAGTTTTTGGCTTCACTGACCTTGTTTCGAGATATCTTAAGTTGAATTATAAATGATTTCTCATTTTAAGGTAGATAAGTCAATATTAATGTTAACAATGTCTATTTGTTGTACATTGTTTGTAGTTGACTTGAATTCTAGTATTTGTGCATTAGAAATGACAAATTATATATCTTTCTTATGGTTATTGATAACAGAAATATGGCACCAAAGCTGTCCAGTGTTGTTCTTTGATAGTCATAGTTTGTAAGATGGAAATTTTTCTGTACTAAAAATATGATGAATGATTGATAAACGATAAATAAATTGAACAGCACTACTTTCATGCTCATTGAAACAGTGTCATGATACCATGTAACAATGTAAAACTATAATTCTGAATACCTCTTTTCAGGTTACTTAATATATCCATGTAGTGATAGGCTTACTTTTGGAAATGCAGAACTTGAAATTCCATTTAAGTATATTTGCTCTGTGTTTCATTCAAGGTAAGTACGAGAATTATACAATCATTCTTTTTATGCACAATTAGATAGTGTTTTAATAAGCTAATTTTGTGTGTAGTACAGCTGCTACTGACATATAATGGACTTATATTAGAAGTGTTCAAATACTCACCACCATGTTATATATAAAGTTTTAGTCTTTTAACCCAATGTTTAAATGCATTTTCATAATCTTTTCGAGGTATACTGTTCAGACACTGGAACAAAGCTGAACCAAGTTTTTTCGAGTTTTATATTTTCTTCGTGCAAGTTTTTTTGAGACTCGGACATAGGAAAAAGTCACCAGAGGCAGGATCTGGCGAATAAGGAGAGTGTGAAAGTTCGACAACCTTTTTCCTGTTTCAGATATTCTCGTACCATGGCTGTTTTGTTTGACGAAGCATTGTCATACAGCAGCCTGATTCATACCACGGACATCAGTTGCTGGCATAATTCTTTAATTTATGAAGGACTTTGATTTTGTAAAACTTGGTATTTACAGATTTACTTTTTGGTACGGCAATTTGATAGCAGGATCTTTATTGATAAAGAAAATTACACAATGACCCTTTTGACGCTCATGGTGCATTTTGCTTTGCAACGTCTTTGACTTCCTTTGTTTGCCCAAATTTTGTTATGTATCTTTCGCTTGGACTCATAAAAAAGACCTCAACTCTCATCGCCAGTGCTGATATTTTGGAATGATTAAGTGTTGAATCAAGGGAACTGTGTTGTATTAACTTTTAAGGGAACTGTTTCAACACTTGTTTGGAGATTCAAGTCCGAGCAAGTATTTGTTCTTTTTTAAAAGAGATGTGGTTTATTTGTTGCACTAATCTTTCTCGTTTTTAAATCACGTCCGATAATTGTATGAGCGGCCCCTACAAAGAAGCCAATGCATTTGCAAATCTTCCATCAGTAGCAATCAAAACCTTAACTTTTTCAACCGTATTGTGCAAAGTTGCATATTTTGGACGGTTTGCATGATGTGCATCTTTTACAAAATCCATACTACTTTTAAATTTCTTACCCAACCGCCTGACATATGAGAAAGGAAGTTCATTGTTCCCATTAACACGACATATTTCATTAAATATGTCGTTCGCCCGTACAGCGGTTCTTGATATAAAACTATTCTGTCAATGAAAGGAGACATTCTCCCAAACATTTTTTAGCTTGGATATACACGAGAAGATAGCGTTAATCGAATTATGGGCATAGACTAGACTGAACTGATTTACACACGTATAATATTTGTTGAGAGTTGACGTCTATGTCATACATGTCGTAGTTCGAACAGAACGTGGTAAGAAGCGAGATATTGGCCTAGTTGCATTAATATGTGAACACCCCTCGTATCACAATAAACAATACCTTATATCGTTGTCTGTTTCCATGTTTGATTATTTTGAATTCTGAAGTCTATATTTAGCTATATGTTACGGTTTGTTAGCGCATTAAGATTGTTTTTTCTTGTATTGTTAACAGGTGTATAGAACTTTCTGCCTGTCAAAAAAAAAAACAGTCACAAAAAGCGTAATAGCCGAGTCCGACACTGAAACAAAATTCTTTGGTATCCGTAAGAATAAAAACACGTTTAGTATACAGTATTTTTCTTCTTTTTCTAATATAACACAGTCATCCAAAATTGATGGATTGCGTCAAATAAAAGTAACAAAACCAATAAACTAGCATGCAGGCGTAAGCTAAACTGATTAATTATCATTTTCATAAAGGTGTTTCATGTCAGAGCATAGTTCTTACTACAATATAACCTGACGTTGATATAAATTAGTCATAAACGTTAACCTGCAGCTATATTGGTTATATCCCGGTCACATAATCATGGAAGAAGAGCCACGAATTAATTCCGACATCGTCCGTTGCTACCCTTACGGGTCAGTAGCATTCGTTCTATAACCGTAATCAATCGTAGTAGTCATTGTATATCCGTAGCGATCCTTGACAATTTTTAAACATGCACAATATTTGCTACGGAAAAAACAACCGTAGCGTATCCCTATTAGTCCGCTTTAAACCGTACTGATACGCACTGGTCCGTACGTACACCGTACTAGTTCGTTCTGATTTGTAGGCCCAAACTTGTCAAGGGTTTCCACATTTTAATATTGAGAACTTCGTATTTGTACGGTTACCCTACGTATAGGGTACTGTTTTAATACAGATTAATACGGCTTTGTCACGGAAAGCCACAGCCGTAATAATTTGTACTTCTGAGAGGCAGGGGTTAGCACGGTCCTATACGGGTTATTTCGTTGCAACACAAAACAGTACGGAATGGTACGGTCCACTATTGTTAAGCACGGCTAAATTAAGTATCATGTTCTTTTCCAAGGGTATAAATACTACCATTTTGATAAAAACAGACAAATTTACGTTTCCATGTTTTGTACACTTCTGAACATTCAATAAAAGATTTTATACCATTAACTGGGTGCAACTGGATATTGATATGCCTCTGAATGCGGTGGCAGTTATCGAGCGGCTTGAAGACATGAATAAAATTATATTAATATCGAACTACAAAATTAAACGTAAGATATTTTACAAAACATTGGATCTGGAAATTGGAGTAAAAATGTAAATATAACATTCGTCTAATAAGTCTCGGAAGCTGACCCTTGAGGGAAAATAAGATAAACAAGCTTTTTACATATTCTTAAAACATAAACTTTCACGTATTTTGAAAATGGACAGCCAATTTTAAATAAAAACAGAAGCAGTTTTGGTCAACATTTTTCATTAATCATTACTAGTACATATTTAATCAGGTAAGATAAGACAGATGGGATGGCTGTCTTGACTTGTGATTGGCTTTTACGAAGCCCTTCATTGCTACGTGCAAGCGAGTAATACACTTAAAACGTGGATTTAGTCTGAAACACAGGTAAAACAATTCAGTAAAGTAGAAACTTTTATTTTCATGAGTGGGTTTTACATCAAATTGATTTTTACGGGGTATATTTTTTAAGGCAACACATGTTTTAACCATTTGCGAGCGAGTTATACACTTACAACGTAGATTTAGTCTGAAACACAAGTAAAACAGTTCAGTTAAGATAGATCTTTGTATAATTGTTTATATTCATAAGTGGGTTTTACATCAAATTGATTTTTTCGGGGTATATTTTTTATGGCAACAGCTTTATTCTTAAAAAAATGCCGATCTCCAACTTAGATTTTCAAAAATGTCTTTTTTTCTACTTTAAGCAACAATTACGTCGTTGTTTTATATCTTATACTCGTGTAAAACATCTTGACTTTTTAGAAGAATAACTATCTTAGTACAAGAAAATGAGGAAATATTTGAAGAGAACACCTTTGTTAAGGAAATATTTACACTGAAAATGCCACCGTTAAGGTTTTCTCACTATACGGTTGCTTGCATAATCTGAAAATCCAGTCTCCTGGTTACTTGCAAGGTCACTGTACGGTTGATTGAAATATCGTTTGCATTTCTGATTACTAGAATTGTTCGAATGCCGACTTGTTAGCAATCATTATTTTGTCAACAATCATTTATTATCTTTTTTATTAAAATTATTATTAAATAAATATAATTGCCTGTTAAAGATAGTTCTCAAAAACAAGCCAAGATCCTTTGAAATAGTTATATTTTAGAAAACGTGTGCCATATAGTTTTAGGAACCTGTACAAAATGTACATGTTCAAATCATTACAACAAATTTTCTGGTAAGTAATCGGAAAAAAAAAATGTTGAATGTTTTCTTTTCCTCTGAATCAGTGCAAAACAGTTTTATCAACATTAAGCAGTTGTATATGTAAATTCAATAAACATACATGGTATGGTCTACTAGCAGAATTATATCAAGAAGGTGTTTGCTTTTATTGAGTTGCCATTGACGTTAATAGTCTAAACTGCTTATTTTAATGTTTGCATGTAGACAAATAATGTATAATTTATACAGTCTAATGTTATACGTAACCTAAGTCATCAACTTAGATTAGAAGTACTTATTTGCATTTTATGCTCCACGAAGGAACATAACTTTGAAACATTAAGATGTATCAACATGAAACGTTGTAGGTAGATAGATCTAATTGAGAAAAAGTGCAGTGCACAAGAACCATAACTCTGTCTTGCTTATTTATTTAAGTTATTGCCAATTGCTCATTTTTACACTTTGATTTATGTCCGGGACATAACTAAAACATTAAAAGAGATATCAACATGAAACTTTGTAGGTATATAGATCTCATTTAGTAGAAGTGCATTGCATAATTAAGAACCATAACTTTGTCTTGCCTAATTTTGGAGTGATTGCCCTTTGTTCTTTTTTACACTTTGAACTCAGTCCGGGACATAACTCTAAAACTATAAGACATATCAACATGAAACTTTGTAAGTAGATAGATCTCCTTGAGTAAAAGTGCAGTGCAAAAAGATCATAACTATGCCGTGTTTAATTATGGAGTTATTGCCATGTTGTTCATTTTAAAACTTTTAACTTTGTCTTGCCTAAGTTTGGAATTATTGCACTTTGAACTTTGTCCGGGGCATAACTTTGAAACTACAAGAGGTATACTTTTCTGTGCCCAAAACCTATTCGGGGACCATCACCCGGTTCAACTGGTTCTTGAATACAAATGTAAGCAACTGTTACAGAGAGTGGGTACATTAATGAGACATCAATCAATCAATCAATCAATCAATCAACCAATCAATCATTTTAAACAGACGAATTACTTGTATCAACACACTGACATTGTTATTTAGGATTCAATTAGACACAGTTTTATTTCATAAATGACAGTTGCATTTATTTACGTTAGGAATAAACCATCTTTGACGAATTATAAATGTCAAAAATAAAAATAACAAAATATACACAGATTATCGTTCAAATTTTTGCAGATTATTTCGTCAGTATATACGAATTTATTTTAGTTCGATTGTAATAGAAGCAATAGGTTCATTAAAACACTCTTCAATTGTTCCTCTCCAACCAGTACTTAGAAGA